TAGGCAATAGTAATAAAAGTTAAAAGTTATAGCTGAGGAGGAGGGTGCTCACGTTTACCTAGAGTTCTCACAGAAGTAGAAGCTTTGAAATCCAAACTGAAAATCTGCTCATCCCCTCCCTCACCTGCATTCTCCATTTTCTGTTCTGAATTCCTTTGAGCTTAAAAATGAAAGCTGGATTCTTTTTGACTTGTGGAAAATCTATCAGAAGCTAAAAGCAAAGTTCCTCAAAATGAGGGAGAAGAGAAATTCCGTTTCATTCCTCTTTTCCCAAAGATCTGTGCCATTTGGGTGCGTTCTTTGGATTTTTACCTTTTTTATGTTGCAATTTTGGGGTCTTTTTACCAATTTTTTTCCAATTTTAGGGTCTTTTGGATCTTTTGGGGTCTCCCTGATTAGAGGAGAGTTTGCAGGGAGAACCACAGTTCTCTGCATCACTTACTGTTAAAGCATATCAGTATCTATCTACCTCTAGCGTTTGTCTCTAGACCCAGAATTTCAAGTAACAAATCTTTGGATGAGATGAGGTAAGAGAGGTTTAATTCATTATGTATATATGATTAGCGAAGAACAACTCTGCAAAAACACCGCAGAAGCTGAACTGGTGAGATTATTCCTTCACTGAAGACTTTCTTGTCCATCGTTTTTAGGAATAACTTTAGTTCTCAGTTATTCTGATTTCAGTCAAAATTTGGTATTCTTTCACTTCAGCTGAAATGAACGTAAGAAATTGGTAACACAAAGCTAAAGTTGTATTGAAGGATAAAGAAAAGTGACTGGGGATGGCTGAAAAATTGAAGATTCCTATATTACAGGTATAGCAGAAGATTGTGTAGTGAAGGAGGAAAACACCTGCCCACATCTACATCAGCGTGTTGCTAGTGCTAATTCATAAGGGTATTTATAATAGTGTGAAGTCAATCTGAAAGTCACTTTGTGCTTGTAGATTATAGGTGCTCTTTTTTTCTGCATGCCTTTTGAAGAATTGACTGTTACCTAAGGTTATTGGTCCTGCTTGAGTAGAAAGACGTAAAGGTATGAGTACCTCAATTAAAATTGATCTAGCAGCGGAACAGAGCTCTGGTAGCTGTGTCGTTCCAACATGGTATCACTTTATGGCAGTTCCCCTCTATGAAGTGTTCTCCTGGGTGCTCTGTGTTTCCAGCATGTAACTTCTAGAGTTTCATATTTTTTGTAAGCAGCAAGACGCTTTTTTCCCAGTGGGTTTCTTTTAAAGTGCTTGGTTGCTGCCATCCCGCTTTCCTTGTCACCTGTCGAGTCTCTGAGAGACTGGGGAAAGGCTGTATGTTATCCACACTTTCTAATTAACATGCACCTTTTTAGAATACATTTTTTTCTGCTTTGGAATTGTGTTTTTTATTACTGCCATACTTCTAGGCTACTCATCGAAACCACGTTTGGTTATCTGTAAAGTGTATGAATGAGGAGTATGTTTTGAGATGAGGGAAGGGATAGGGAAGGCAATGATGAAAAAGGGAGGAATCCAAAAAGGAAATTACTTTGGAATTCAGGTCCTCTTGATGGGAGAGTGATAAAGATAATTCTAATGATATTGTTGGGGGGCAGGGAGCAAAAGGCACGATGGAGACAAGACTTTGAGAGAGAGAAAAAAAAATTATGTGGTCAGCTGCTCTGTTGGGCTTCTTTTATCCTGAGTCTGGTAAGGGCTTAAAACTAAGTGCACACTTAGGGTCAGAGGGTGCGTGTCAGCTCCCGGGACCAGGGCATAACTTCAAGTAAGGCACAGAGGCCTGTGCGTAATTACATTTGCTGTGCTGAACATCTCGAATTCCGTACTCCAGCCTGGGCTTCTTACTCGTTTTCTCTTGTGTTTCTGTGACTTGTTCATTTGAAACAGAAGTTTTTCACAGCAGGAAACTGTTCCTTGATGCATTCCCATAGCACCTAACTCAGTAGGGCATCTCTGTTAATAGCAGCCCGGTCGTTCCTACCACCTCAGCTGGTCATAGCAGAATTCCTCCAGCTGCTGCTTCCCCATTAAGTTAAGATCAGGTGAGAATGAGCTGTGGTTGTAGTGCATCTCATTTCATTTTGTTTGCTTTTTTCTTTCCTTAAGCCTGGTATTTGAGAAGTGCATGGGAATTTAGTTCTGGATCTTTTCCACAGCATGTTTAATTTTTGTTTACTGTTTGCTTTGAAGAAGGGGCAGGAAACAAAACTAATAGGTACAGAGAATGAAGAACTGTTACCTTGCATGGAGATCTGAGATAATCTGACGGTGTTTGGCATGAGACTAGGGTGGCAGGGAGTAAATGCCAAAAAAAAAAAAAAAAGAAAAAGAAGGCAGAATTATTGGAGAATGCATGTAGTTCTGAATAATTTAAGTCAAAGACTTGATAACTAAACAAGGCAGAAAATAGTGAGGAGGAAGCATTACCCATTTTTGTACAGAGAAATTAATTACTACTGTAAGAGTCTGGTTTAGAGGTGCAAAATGTACTTTTTCTTCAATCCTGGCTCTGACATGAACCAGCAAGACTCTCCGTTCTGCTCGTGGGACAAAGGCAGGTGTATTGCAAGTGCTGCCTCTGTGTTCTGGGTACCACAAATGGACAAAAGGGTTTTTTAATCCACTGAAATAAATGGACATGGAGGTGAACCAAGTACAGAAATTAAGGTACAATAAAGTACTTTCCATTCATTTGGGGCATATTTTGTAAGTAGAGCTATTTATGGCTTTTTTTGACTGAGAGCAGAGATTATAATAATCTAACAATAATTACCTTGTGGGAAAAACAGGAACAAATGAATTCTTCAACGTTTGATCCTTGTACAATAGATAGTAGAATGATAAAACTGTTAGGAAACAACACTGCAGTAGTATGTCAAGCTGGTTTTTTATTTCATTGCAGAGAACTGTAAGGGAAAATATTTGAAACTAGATGACATGCATTATGACATACCATTTAGCCACGGCAATGTAAGCTGGGATCAAAGCTTGTTTGGAAAATTGAGGTCCTTGGGAGCAGGAAGAAAAGAGGAGTTTCTGACAAATAATATCAGAATTCTTCTGGGTTCCTTAAGGCGGGTTTAAGGTTGTTGTGGAGAGGTCCAACACTTCATTATGTTGCAAGGCATGTGCTGAAGTCCATGTGTCTGAAGAATGGGTTATAATTCTTAGCCTTTTCTTGGTCACTGTCTTATGAGGTCAACCTATCATTAGAAAGTCATGCTTGTGCTGTCAGTAATGTACTGTCTCTTTGACCTCATTTTACAGTCAGCTACTCAGTTTGGTACATGATAAGAGCTTTAGCAAAACAAGATTGAAGTCAACCTTTTATTTTTTCTTCACTACTATCCTGAGTTACATTTAGTAGGTTTTTGTTTTTTCAGAAGTTAGAATCACGCTGCTTTTAGAAAAGCTGTTCTCACCGTTGCATACGGATTTTCTCCATAGAGGAGCAAAACGCAGTCAATACTGGAGGGCAGGAGTTGCCTTTGTGCATTGCTGGTGATGCCAGGGGGTTTGGGGAGCTGGCACATGGCTTGTGCTCGCAACAAGGGTCCTTCCTTCCCTGCTCAGAGTTTTGCAGCCTGGTTGTTGACCTTTAGCCTTAGTTACCCAGTATAAATGATAATTCAGGCAATTCTCTTTCACATCCCACTAGAGTCTATTGCTGCTGCCAAAACAGAAGTTATAGCTGACACAGGAGCATGGTTCCTTTATTATTATTTTTATTATTTTTCTTTTATTTTTTTGGTTCCTTGTTTTGGCATTTTGTGCTATTTTCCTCCTCATTAAAGGCTTTTGCCTGAGATTACTTTGTTAAAGGTTTCTCTTGTCTTTTCTAGGTTTTTATTTTTTCTTTTCCTTTCAGAGTTCCAGATATTTTCAGATTTAACTTGAAATTCTCTGTAAGTTTAAAGGTTCTTTCTCATCAGACTATGGAGTCACATGGCTAACTTTGAAAATAAAAATACTGTGGATCATATTTGTTTTTCAGTACTTCTTCCCAACAGTATTTATCTTTCCCCCCCTAACATTGGTGTCTCTGAGCATGCCACCTTTTGTTTTCTGGTCTCAGAACTAAACATTCACAGAGAAAATTGACAAAATGTTCTGTGCTTATGAATCCAGTTGGGACTTGCCTCCTCATTTAACTCTTCAGGTTAAAATCAGACCCCTTCTTACAAGTTACAGAAGGTCTTTATCTAATTCCAAACAGCCAGGTGATCTGCTTGGGAAGTAAGAAATTCTGAAAAAAAAACCCGAAACAAAACAGTAACAGAATCTTAGTCCCATAAAACTCTTAAGTGATGTTCTTAAGACAGATTTGAAACTATTACGTTGCAGTGCTCTAGTGAATTGAAGTGTTGGACCGTAATGCATACCAGCAGTCAAAGGCAATGTTGCATATTAAGGGCTCTACCATCTTCCAGCTTTACATTGATGAAGGAGTAGTGTAACACCTTCTCGAAGAGCATCAGCAGCCAGATCCAGCCTTACTTGTAGTCTGTGGAAAGTTTTTCTTCCTTTCTGGGGAAAGGCCTGCGACGCCAAAGTGCTTTTATGTAAATTCTCTCCCTCTATTAAGAAGGAGCGACCTGAAACACTGGGATCATCCAGCTTATTTTTAAAATCTTAACAATAAATAATTCATACAGTATGAAGCTGTCTGGAGAAGCACTACCACTTCTTGGCGCTCTGTTGGTTCAAAATGTCTGTTGTTCTCATTGTGCTTTAGGACAGGATTGATTAGCTAACTGGTTATATGATAATCATTTAGACATATGACCTTGTTTAATCCTTCTGCAACACATTAAATTGCTAGGCAATTAACAGGATTTGAGGCTTTCCATAATCTTCATGGTGTCTACATATGCATAAGGATAAGTTTATTTGTGTCTGAAATCAGGAAAAAACCACAACCCTTCATGTTGCTGAATTTTGTGTAAATTTTGTTTTTCAGTATGTTTCATGTTGTTCTTTTCTTTCCCTTTTTAGCTATTACAGAGAAATGGCTTTATGGATCTGGACACTGAGCATTTTGAGCTGTTTTTGCATCACCTTCTCCAGAAATGAGGAACTGAAATTTTTTCAGAGTGCCACAGAGCTAAATCATCTAACAGTGGATAATGACACTGGGATAATCTATTTGGGCGTGGTAAATGCTCTGTATCAGCTTACAGAAAACCTGGATGTAATAAGGTCTGTAGAAACAGGTCCAAGAAAGGACAACAAGAAGTGCACACCTCCCATTGATGAAAATCAATGTAAAGAGGCAGTACTGACTGACAATTATAACAAATTATTGTTGCTGAACAAGGCAGATAAAACAATTGTGGTGTGTGGAAGCCTTTTTAAGGGAATCTGTGCCATCAGAGATCTAGAAGACATTAGCAATGTGAAGTATTATGTGGACAGTAGCGGAGAAAAGTCCTTTGTAGCAAGCAACGATGAGAATGTATCAACTGTGGGATTGATCACTTCCTTGAATAATGACCGAGTGCTGTTTGTTGGGAAAGGGAATGGACCAAATGATAACGGGATAATAATCAGCACTCGGCAGCTCTACGAAAGGGATGGGAAAGACATTTTTGAAATGTATACAGACTCGGCAGCTGTTAAGTCAGCTTATCACTCATCAAGCACACAACAATTTGTGGCAGTCTTTGAGGATAAAAATTATGTTTATTTTATTTTTAATCAGCAAGAGAAACAGCCCGTCAATAACCGCACACTGATTGCACGTCTGTGCAAAGACGATGCCCATTATTATTCCTACTTCGAAATGGACTTGGGTTGCAAAGATAATGATGGTGCCTATGACCACTGCCATTCTGCTTACGTCACTACCCCAGGAGAAGAGCTGGCTGAGAGCATGGCTCAGCAGAGACAAACTACGGATGCTCTCTCAGATGACAAAGTTCTTCTTGCACTCTTCAGTAAAGTAAACAAAGATAATGGCTCTCTAAAATCTGCCATGTGTGTGTTTTCCTTGCGGCACATCAATGAAAAGATGGAAAAAAACCGAAACGATTGCTACACTAAAAAGAATACCAGCTCATTTTACAAACTTTTCGCAGCAGAAAACCCCTGTGCATCGCATGGACTGGTAATATCAGTATCAGTTTTAGAATCTGTGTTAGAATTAGTGGCAGATATACAGCTGTGTGGTTTTGGGTGGCTTTGAGTTAAACAATAGTGAGATCAGATGGCTGAAAACTCAGTAGCTGGATTCACTACAGAAATGGAATGTGGTTGGGAGGGTTGTGGAACAGGTCAAGCAAGAAGCGGCAAGATAGTCATAATTTTGAGTCTTTTAAAAAAGATTTGATGTCTTCTGAAAGATGAATATTGGTTTCATAAATGCATTTCTTTTAAAGGGTTCCTTCTGATATGGAAATTACTGAGTCAAATGCAGTGATTTGTTGCACCTATGATCAGCTTCTGAGTGATCACTATAGATGATTCTGGTCTCAACCAGCATATTTATAATGTTTTTAAATGGTATTAAGAATCTTGTAGATGATATGTGGAGGTCAGTGTTGTTTCTCACTTGGATTTGAATTTTCAGATAACTGGAAGTACGCTTGTTTCTTATATTCAGGTGGTGTTCATATTTTGCTCTGGCTCAAAATACTTCCATAGCATGTTGGCCATCTTCTTTTTATGGCTTGACGTTACTTTGTCTGTGAGGTTTTTGGAGGGCACTTTACACCCCTCCACATACTGTTCTTCAATTTATGACTATGTCTCTGAGAGGCAGTTTTCAGCATCTCTGTTGACTTTATGTTTTTGCCCGCATGACCCTATTCCCAAGCCCTACTTGTGCATGGCATTCGTTACTGCAGCCAACCCTAAACTAGGTTGAGGAATTGAATCATCTTAAAAATAACTCAGCCAGCTTTTAGGAGGATGTCTTACTTCCCCCACCTGAGCAAGGTACATGCTCGCATAAACAGCTGTTTGAGCACAGCTTGAGAAGCGGTGTGCTACAGTCCAGAGGTAGGAGTGAACAGATGAAGGGATGGAACATGGGGATACCTTCTGTTGGTATTGACCCATAATCCTTCATCTCATGAAACCACAGCCCTCTCCCACATAGTAGGTCACTAGCACTGGTAAGAGGCCAAAAGAACACTTTTTGCTTCTGAACACGAGTGTTACTGACTGCAGTACCCTGCATCTGAGGTGAGCATCAAACATAGAAATCCTGAATGTGACAAGTGGAGCGGCCGTGGCTTCCAGCAAAAAGGAGGTGTGGATTTCAGATCAGAAAGACAGTCTCGTTGCCAAATATAGTAGGAAAGGCAAGGTGTGAATGAACTTCCTTCTGGTGGCACTCCCTGCAGCTCAGGATTAAAGCATAGTGAAGAGGGAACGTGTTGAAGTTCACAAAACAGTTGCCACTGGGTTGCTTTTCTATGGATAGCAGCAAATTAAGAAACAAAACAGCATTAAAAAACCAGTCTTTGACACAAAATTGGTCAACCCAATCTATATGACATGTTCGTTTTAATTAAACAAACTGGTTACTTTTTTAAAGTGTACTGCTGTAATGAAAAAGAAACAAAAAATTTTCTCTCCCATTGTCTCCTGGAAAGTGAAAGCATTGAAGCAGTTTGCAATTAGCAGGCTACTGTCTGATTGCTGCCTGTTGGCTGGGGGAAAATGGCCAGACAATCCATTTCTCTCTTTCTAGTCTTCTATGCCTGAAGGGTATTGTACTGTCTGGTAATAGGGTTGCAGTTCATTCTTAGCTAGGAATTAGTGATCTGAATGTTTAACACCACTCTCTATTGCTATTCCTTATTAGAATGCAAGCAAAAATTTCCCCTGTGGCTCCGAACATTTGCCGTACCTTTTGGGAAGTAAGAATGGTGTTACAGAGAAGTCAATACTGCAAAAAGAAGGGATGAATCTCACGGCCGTCACCGTGGCTGTGGAGAACGGGCATACCGTGGCCTTTCTGGGGACGTCGGATGGTAAAATTCTTAAGGTAACAAACTGGACTTAAAAGACTGGAAGGTGTTTAAAAGGTCACAAACTGTAGTGATAGCATACTTCTACTCTAAAAGTAAATGGCATTTATAAGATTGCATACCAGGAGCAAATTCTCTTGGAGCTTGGTATTTTTAATTTCAAAGAAAAACCACATTATTTCTGATGTACCTCAGCTATCCAATGCACAGATTGAATTAGTATCGCCTGAATGACACTTTTCCCAAAGGATTAGATACCTACTGAGAGCCCTATATAAACAGCCTTAGGTAATCTAACAGCTGCTCTAGCCTTATCTCTATTCAAGCCCACACTAGTTTAAGAGCAACTTTCATTTTGTAATCATTCTGGCCATTCAGTGTATTGAGAGGGCAATACAAAGCCCATGCCGGAGCTCTGCTAAATTCTGACTGTGTGGTGTGGGACTCAAGGGTTCACGTGTTTGTGCTGTTAAAATGTTAAGACTGCAACGCCAAATGCCTTTTGCTTGAAGGGGAGTGATGGCCATGTGCCACTATGTGTTTTGAAATTTGAAGCTGAAACTGTTGGTTACCATAAGGGAAGACAGCAAATTTGAACATCTTCAAGTGTAAAGGCTCTGAGTTGAGAATTTTAATTTTACAACACTAAAATAAATCAGTATTTACAAAAGAAGATACAAATATTAGCTATTGTAAGCAGTGAGCAATTTCTTTTAATGACTTTTATGCTTTGCTTGCTGCTTTTGATGCTATATACTTCAAATTGAAATGTTTTCCCTAACATGAATTTGTGAACTTGAGTAAACACAGGATTTTCATTAATCATATAATCATTTAGGTTGGAAAAGACCTTTAAATCATCGAGCCCAACCATAAACCTAGCACTGCCAAGTCCCACCAAACCATGTCCCTAGGCACCACGTCTACACATCATTTAAATATCTCCAGGGATGGTGTCTCCACCACTTCCCTGGCCAGCCTGTTCCAATGCTTAACAACCTTTTCAGTGAAGAAATTCTTCTTCTAATATCCAATCTGAACCTATCCTGGCACAACCTGAGGACATGTCCTCTTGTCCTATCGCTTGTTACT